ATGCCCAAAGGCTATGAGATACCCTGGGTTCCTCTTGAGGCAGAAGAAAAGCACCTGAGTTTTCCAGTAAGTATGCTGGTGACCTGGCATCATGGGAATTTGCCAGCCCTGCTTGGGAGAAGAGGGCCAATAGAGTATTAGCACTTACTGGAAAATGGCATAGCAGTTTACGCAATGAAAAGTCACTCAATTCATACTGGCCCCTAAATAGTCAGATGATACATCTGACCATTTCCCATCAACAACAACAAAAATTAATCAAGTTTACTTAAGCCAATGATAGTTTACCTGTTTTTAAAAGAGTCAGCTAAATACAAAACCAATTTGCATCTTGACTAAGGAGTCTCCAAAGAGGTTTTACCTCTCATGTTTGTGAATGAAGCCAAGTGTAAACTTAAAGTGTGATGTCTCACATTCTGATGTACAATGCAGAAAGTACACACATCTGCTTGAACTAGCTCTGTCTTCATGCTAACTTGTCCCTATCCAATCAGAGCATATTTAGAAAAAGAAGCTTTCTGCAACCTATCCTAGCAGTTACGGATTCATTGAGCTGACCCTGTTCCGTTTGACGAACTGTCCAAATTTAGCCATGCTAAAATATATAACTTAACCAGCTGTTAGATCTACTCCTACTTATCTCAGGGTTTTCTGTCTGTCTGTCTGTCTGTTTGTTTCCATTACAAGGAATTTACTTTCCATTACAAGGAATTTATTTCTTGCTGATTGGCCTTGCTTGTGCATTTTATTCACACTGGGATTATATTTGGGATTGGACCATAGTAAATCTACCTTTTTGTTTTTAGAAACAGCTGAGATGAGAAAGCTCTATTCCTTTCTGTACATTTTGACAAGGATGAAGAGTTGTGGGATAGGTTAAGAACACTGTTCCATGACCCTCCCTGGTGACACAACAGGTTAAAGAGCATCACTATGAAGCTATGGGCAATAGCCACTGCAGCATGAGTTCCATCCCCAGCCAGGGAGCTGACCCACATGGCGCAGCAGACCTCTCCTGTCCAACCCATTGCCTCCCTCAGCAGTGTGTTTCTATCTGCCTGTTCTGCTCCCCACTCTGTTTCTGGTGAATCCTCTCACCCCCACACCTCTAACCTGTACCCCAGTTCTTGTATGCATAAATAAATCTACTTTTTAAAAAATGCTGTGTTCCAGTACACCTGTGTTCCTTATTCTCATTATATCACTCTCCCTAAGGTATATTATACTGAGACTCGGAAGGGTTTCATTTCTCTGACATTCAGACTAACAACATCACTTGAAGAATTTTAATGATTTTAACATTCACATTTGTGTATTACTTAGAGTACATTTATCCACTGATTCCATCTGAATGGTGAAACCCCAGCAACACTACTGATGGGCATGTGCCTTTTATACAGCGTATAAACTCTGCCTATCGGGCAAGAGCCAAATCCCAATTATTCCCTGAGTTCCCACTGCCTAGGACAGCTTCTCTCACACAGCAGGTAATCAGTGTGGATTTGAGCCTGCAAAGCAAGTCACTTTCCCAATCTGGGTTGTTTTGTTTTTTGTTTTTTCCCCCCTCCAGCTTTTCCTTCTAGTTTTCCCACTCCAGGAATGTGATGTTAGGTATATAGAAAGGACAAGGTCTTTGGAATATAATACGAGCTCTAATTCAAATTTCCACTTGAACTTGCCACCAAGTGCATTCAGGACATCAAAGAGCTGTGTCAAGATATAAAATAATTCACTTCAATAAAGGGAGGCCAGGAGGGGCCCTAAGCAAGCCATCCTATCTCAACCACAGTGACAAACACTACTTGATACTTTCTAGACAAGCACCCAGCTCATATAGTAAATATCTGGAATTCACAAAACAATGGTTTCCACAAATTCATACTTCATTTCCTTATCAACGGTGGTTCCCTTCTCTTCTAACTGCCCACTGCCAACATGCTCTCTCTTCACTCAAAGCAAGTTCTCTGAAGGCAAGCGGATACTTCGAGTGTGTTATGTCATACGAGGCAAGTCCTTCTAGGGCTTTCTTTAACAGTGGCACAATCATAAAAATTCTTGTTTACCTTACCTCCAGACTTTTGAGACACATAATATTTTCTCTTTCAGTTCGCGGTTTACTTTATAATATCATGCAGACGCCGGAACTCATCAGAGATGGAAGTGCAAGAAGCAGGAATCCTTTTTTTTCCCAAAAGCACTAATGTAGTTCTCATTAATGTTCTGCAACAAACCAAACCACCCAGTGGGCCTTCTCTGCTGTTACATTTCATCATCCAGCAATTTGGAGTTGTGAAACACGCAGTGGCACACGAGTGAGGGAGAGCAGGAGCTGGGGCTTCAGGCAATCCAGGGTTCCAGCCCCAGCGCTGATGCAGACTGAATTACCAATTGCAGTTGGTCACAAATTCAAGTCCTGGGGTCCAGCCCCACATCTCTGGGCTGTATGATGCACAACAAAGCAAATGAAGCTATTACAGGTTCCATTTTCTCATTTGTAAAATGGAGAGAATATCACCTTCTTCACAGAGATGCTAGAGGTAAGTGAGGCCCTGTATGTAATGTACCTTGTACATAGTAATTCATATTCACACATGATCAAATTAAACAAAAGTGTGTATATTAGTGTTTTTCAAAGCTTGTGGCCATTTCTCTTTCACACAGTTAGCCTAGCATGACAAGGAAAAGTATCAAAAAAGATGACAGTGACAAATATTACCATACAAAAGGAAGGTACCTGAAGGTCAGGCTAAAGAGGACACTGCTTGGGGGTCATAATTTTTTCAATCAAACTGCAATATATGGGCAGGTCACTAACCTCCCATAGCCCAAGACAACGCTCTTTGCACTCTGTCATGTTTACCTGAGCTCCAGTATCTGGTATGTGTCATTTTCACATGACCAAGAATCTCAATGAGATAAATAATCCTTAGAACAATGTGATGAGATCATTTTATAACTAAACAAGACCAGATCTGAGGACAAGCATTTATATAGTGGGATGGGGGAAATAAAAGACATTGCTTCCTCACCCCGTTTGGAGTATGGTAGCCCCATCTCCATCTTCTTTTGGACAAAGGGGTCAACCCCAGGCAATTCCATGACTTTAAGTGGAGACTTTCCATTATAGTAAGCAGGAGAATAAGTAGGCCTGACTCGGTTAACACCTTGATTGCTTCTAAGTTCCACTATAAATTTCATTAAAAAAAAAAACAGAGAGCTAAATTTCAAGTCTCATGTCTTCAGTTGCAAACCCTGTGCACAATTTTTAGGTAAACTGAATTCAATAATCTAAGAAAAAAGCTGGGCTCCCAAATGGTTAATGGGACCTACATTTTGATCAAATTAAGACGTTATTTTAAGCTCTTAGTCAAGCTAAACAGTAAAATAAATGAAATATTGCATTGACTTACGATTTAATTTGGGTGTTAACTATGAGGGACATGATGATTAATTGTACTGCCGGGGTTGTGTAGCCAAGAGGTGGAGTAAAGATGCAGATCTAAAACTGAGGAGGAGGAAGTTCAAAGATAAATCTAGCTCCACTCACACTAGAATCAAAGTACCCTGAAGAAAATGATGAATCCAAGGTCACTACTTGGAGGCACACACTGCTTACCACCTCACCACATTTGCATCAAATATACAAATCTTGACTTCGTCATTACTATAAATGGGCAGAAAAGTCTCTGGAAGGGACACTGGGACTTGCCTCATTATAAATGCTAACTGCACCAAACTTTTCTTTAGTTTCTCTCTCCCTAAAACCCCACACTGACACAGAGAACCAGAGTGTCTGTAGGATGAATTCCCAGGCCATAGCAACTGCACTGCCCTGGGATCTAAGCAGATCTTGGCTAGCCAGGCATTGAGCCCTTTTCGGGAAGGAGACAGCAGGCCTGCTTTTCCCTTCCACAACGACCCTATCATGAAATAGGCTCCTGTTTTTGTTTGGTTTTTAGTTAAGAATCTCCATCCTCCCTGCAGAGAGGAAAAGGCTTGGGAAGCTTATAGTGGTTCCAGGGTTTGAGCTCAAATTTTCTTCCATCTAACTCCCCAACACCACCTAACATTTGGGAAAAAAGGGGAAGGGACCTACCCGGGGAAGTTGGAAATAAGTTTTGGGTCAAAGGTGGTTTCAGGTTTTGATCAGGTAAGTGATGGAGGAGGACTAGTTGCAAGACACGCCCTAGAGCTGAAAGCAGCTTGGGAACTGAAAAAGGAAGCTGCCACACCCTGTAGGGTTTCCAACCTGGCCACAGGTAAAGAAGAGATAGGAGAGACGAGAAAATTCTCCGTCCTTTATGTAGATCTCTCCCCCCCCTCCCCCCACTTGAGTGCCAGCGCGCTGGCTGGCGGCCGGGCTTTGGAGACGCCTAAGAGTGGTTCTAAGGGTTCTTTATTCCGCGTGTAAACATTAGGACCCACCAGAGTTGGGGGGTGGGGGTGGGGGAGGGACACCTTGCACTCTGCTAAAACGCTAGACGCCGATGCACCCAGCGGTCCCCAGTGTCCGGCGCGCACGGGTACCAATCTCCCACTGCGGTAGCATCCCGACATGACACTGCAGCTGCAACAAAGCGGCAGCCACTATCAGCCCACCGCGTCCCGCACTGCATCCCCAGCCCTACACCACACAGAGGGGCTGCGGCCCTCCGCGGTGCAGGTGTGGGAAGGCGGTGGGGATACTAAGAGGTCCGAGTAGGGAATAAACCTCTGAAATGCGCAGGAAACCCGCCGGCCACCTCTAGCGCCTCCTCCAGCGCAGCCAGACTGCAAAGAAAACAAATCATCCTCATTCCCTAGTCCCAGCTAAACCTGAGGCTCCTCCAAAACACCAGTGGGTGCCCTCAGTTGTATTGCCTTGTCTTGCAAGTCTCCTGTTCCAGCTGACCGGATCCCGCGCCCCAAGCAGCCCGGGGCCCGGGGACCCGCCCGGCACTGGGAAAGCAGCGTCTTCAGCTCCGGCGTAGCCGCCGCCCCCAGTTCCCTAGAGCGCTCACCAGGAGAAGGGAGCCGGCGATCATCGTGGCTCCAGCGATGCGGCTGCAGAAGGCGAGAGCGGTGCGACTGCTAGCAGAGGTCCCCATGGCTGAGTCCGGGACTTGCAGGGGCGCTCTGGGCGCGTGGACCTCCGGCAGCTGGAATCGGCGGCTGCTTCTGCCCAGCGCCGCATCCACCACCGCCTCCCGGGCCGGGAGCCCATCTACCTCCAACACCCCATGTGCAATGCGGCAGCCGGGCAGCCGGAGAGCCGGGCAGCCGGGCAGCGGAGGGAGGCGGCGAGGGAGGCACCGGGGGCGCTCAGCACCTGCCCAGACGCGCGGCCGCCGAGGCAGGGACAGGCAGCCAAGGCTGCAACCCGCGCCTCCCGATGCTCTCCTCCGACAGCAGCAGCGGAGAACCAGGGAGGTGGGCTGCGCACGAAAGAGCAAAGGAACAACTTCCCATAGCGAAGCCTCCAGTCACTGCCAACAGCCCTCCTCCTCTGCCCAGACCGGCCGGCTAGGGACTGAGTCTGGTGGCCGCCGGGTGCGGGGACACACGTGGTGGCGCCGAAGGGGCGGAGGATCAGCCCTTTGTGATGTCACCAGGGAGGAGGCCGGGCTCTTTGTGCATTTAGAAACGGGAAGGCAGTCCAGGTGGAGAGAGGAGGAAGAGGGCGCCCCTTGGCGTTTGCTAAAGAAATCGCAGTTGCTTACTAACCCCGGGGAAAGCACTGCGAAGCATGCACACCTCAAATGAGTCTTTTTCTAACAAGATTCCAAGTAAATGAGTTCTAGGGCAGACACCTTTCTTTTGTTTATGACACAGTGATTTAAAACAGTTAACGACCATAAAGGAATTAGACCAACTGCATGCCAAAGGGAGACTAGTGTGTTTTCTCTAAAACTTGGTTGCGCATTAGAACCGCCAGGAGAGTTTAGAACATATATTATTGTTATCTGCTGCAATTCCCAGAGATTCTCATTTAATTGGAACTGAGCGGCCTGGGCGTTAGGGTTTTTTAAAGTTCTGGAGATTTTAATACGGAGCAAAGTTTGAGAACCTCTGAGCTAATGAACATAGATAAGGAATCCAGGCTAAGCATTCACAAACTTGAGTCTGCACATTGGCTGGGTGGATGGTTTCGGAGAGGCCTTGCAAAACCTTGAAATGTGTCAGCAGCTAATTAAAGGATTTAAGGTTTGAATTAGATTATTACAGAGACATAATCACCTTTCCACACAAAAGAAGAGTTCATCTGTTTTAAGTTCCAAATGTTTTTGTGGGTTGTGAGTAGATAAAATGGGAGATAGCATTCTGCTTCAGAAGAACACCTAGAACATTATCTTGGGTGTCTGCCATGGTCCACATTTCTGAATTTGAGAGAGGATCTGTTATCTCTTTCTTCGCTTCACCTGGGGGAATGCAAACTCTTGACTTGATCAGAATTGATCAACTTGGCCATAAACTAGGAACTAACAGCTTCTGGCAAGTGGCATTCAAATGACCACTTTGCTCATCAGATCCACACCACTCACTTGTGAGCCTAGGGTGCCAGGCTTTTCCTAGTTTTCCTCCATCCCTTCTATTTCAAGATAGGGATGCTTTTTCAAGTATCTTCTTCAAGATCCAACACTCTGTACTCATGCTGGTAACCTCTTAAGGCAGAAGAGCCAACTGTTCATTTTCTTATGAATTAATATGCTGTGGTTCGGGTTTTGTTCTGTGCACACTTAGCAAGAAGTTCAAAATGGAAATAAAGATTAAGTCCGATCTATTCTTCCAAACATGTGTCAGTAAAGAAGAAAGATTGTCCATGAATGTGGGAAGGAAAGAAGCAATACAGTCTCCGGTGAAATTCAATTAAGTTTAAGAAAATATTGCTTTTAAATGTGAAGTTTGGAAGAGAGGGTAATAGTTGGACTTGAGTCTTTCTAGCTAGCTCCAGGAATTTGAAAGGTCAAGTGTATATGTTTATAAACCACAGTTTCAATTATATTTTCAAAATTCCATATTGTTAAGGGGAAGGATGTCCTAAAGGAACTCTGCAGAGTTTTGAGGACTCCACCCCCTACTCCAGTTTTCAGGACTCTATCCCCTACTCCAGTGATTGGAAACTACAACTCCCAGCAATGCCAGGGAGAGAACTGCGAGGACCCAAGGGTGGATCTAAGCAGGCATCCTGGGACTTTTGGGGATAAATAGGGCACCATTTTCTACAGCACTCTCTCACTCAGAAATGGCTCTAGGGACTGCGGACTCAGGGTTTTCAGTTAGTTCGGTACCAGAACTCCAGCTCAGCTTAGAGGGTAAGATATTCCAGTTACTTTGTATCCCTCTCTCTTTCCCTGGGTTGTTTTCTTTTCTTTTCCCCTTTTGTAAATAAACCCATTACTGACCCTTTTGTGTGTGTCTGCAGTACAAATGAATTTTAAGCACATGGGTGAGGTCCCACAGACAGGTGGCCCAGTTCACACTGGGGAGTCCTGTAACAATATGACTGGTCAATATATTTTTAAAATAAATTACATAGGTATAAAATAATGGGGGGTTGTCAAATCAAGTATTTAATATTTAGTTCACTTTAATGCTTCACATCCACTAACAGTTCTCAAGGCAGAAATATTTGTTCCATGAAGTTTGGACAAACCAGAGTTTGGGTTACGATACAAGTTTAAGGAATCCTTTGTCAACTATATGTCTTCCTAAAACCTGTATGAGTGCTTCAGTAGTAGAACCATGGTAACTGCACCTGAGAAGTCCTATACTGTTAAAAAGTAAACAAGGATGTCAGAGAAAGGTACTTCAATTAAAAAGTCATAACTTTTAATTAAAACAAAGTATAGCTCATAAAAGATGCTGATGAGCACTGCCTTCAGGATTCCTCAACAATGATTGTCATTGCAATTAAGTCGAAGGAACTATTTGGTTGCAATAAAAGAAAAAGAACCCTACCACTATGACAGCCTGAGTTCGATCCCCAGCCAGCAGACCTCTCCTGTCTGCCGGCTGTCCTGCTTAGCTGTGTGTTTCAGTAGATCTGCTTGTTCTGCTCTCCTCTGTCTCTGGTGGATCCTCTCATCCTTCCCCACCTCTCGCCAGTACCCTAGTTCTGATATGCAAAAAGGAAAAAAGAACCCCTAAAGAAGCTGGAATTGTTTTTCCCCTCTTTCAAATGTCATCATTTCCTGGTGTGGCATTGTTCACATCAAGTTGACATTGAATATTCAGCATGAGAAATGAAAAACCACTCAATCCTGTTTACTATATTTAATTAAATATCCCTCTCTATGAGTCATAGATTATGAATAACTTGAATCTATACACAGTGTGAGACTTTATTACTTTGAATTAAAATATATAAATGCTTTTCATTTGACTTTGTACAAATTTCTTCAATGATTGATCAACTCATTGTGACATTTTCATTATGATTGTTTACAAATATTTATTTCCTGGGAAAGAATAGAAATTGAATCATGAATGAGGATCAGTTTTGCCACATCTTTGTCATAAAATCACTCTCAAGCCTCCATCCTCTCACATAGTACTTTTTTTATTTCTGCATATAATAGTACTTTTTTTATTTCTGCATATTCTGCCAGTGTTATATAAGTCTCTCCATTTCCTATCCACAAAATTATTCGTTCTTCCTTCTCCTGTATTTCCAATAAATCTTTAATCATTTCATTATTTTCTCTTTATAGTTTGAGCCAAACTCAAAGGAAAAAAGAGCTGAAAATTTGTTCAAGCAACAGCAAGATATTATTCATTTCAATGTGTATTGAATATCTGGTGTATCAGGCACTGTGGGAAGAAACAGTAATCCTACTTCCAAAAAACTCAGTCTCTTGAGAAGAGAAAGATAAAAAGATAACTTAAATAATATAGCAGGTGTGGGCGGTAGAGAGCCCCCATCATAGGCAGGCACATGCCTATTTTCAGCAGACAATGTACTGTCCAGAATAAATGACTACATTTCCCACCCTCCTGTGTGTCCAGATGCGGTCATGTGCCTATAGGTCTTACCAAGTAGAATTACTGTTTGTGTCTTCTGGAAACAATCTCAGCAATTGCATTGGCCAGGACTTAGTTATCCATCATCCTTCTCATTCTATCTTTCACCAAGACCCGCTATCTAACTTAATCAACTTTAATCTAATTCTACCTATCACTTCTCTTCACTCCTTTTTACTCTACCTTGGCCCACCCTTCTGTTCTGGGCTAACCGATTTTCTAAATAATTACATAAACTGTATGATTGTTATCCCTGCTTCTTGTCTTGTCTGGACCTTCTGGCCTTGCAGTAAATCTCTTAATACCCTAAGGAAAATTAGCTTTTTAGAAACAAATCTGATCATGAGCTTCCTGTCCAAAAACCCAACCAAGCTTCCTCATTATTCTCAATTTGAAGTTCATAGTCCTAATAAAACTATTCTACTGATCCCTGCTTATGATATAAGCCTCCCCACTGTTACATGCTTGAGTAAACATATACAAATACAATACTCAGAGGCCACCTTTCAATTAATTTTCCATCCCGTCTGCCTGCCAATTCCTACAAACCCCAGGTTCTACACACTAATCACATTAGATCATTGTGTTTCTCAACTACCTGGTCTCTGTCATACTTCCAACTCTTTGTTTGATGTTGTTTTCCCTTCAGTTCTCTCCTCTGCTTGTTGAATTCCTATAAATTGTTTAAGACCAACCTTCAGTAGTATCTCACCTGAGAAAACTTTCCTATTAGTATTATATCTTTACCTTCTCTACTCTCACTGGATATGACTTAGTTGTTCCTACCTCTGGTTGTTATTTTTTCCTCCATATGGCTCTGTTATAGCATGCACGACTTATACATAGTTTGTTTACTTCTCTATGTCCTTAGTTCTAGATCTTGAGCTTTTGAAAGCCAAAGTTCATGTCTTAATCATCTTCACAGTTGGGTTCACTCTAATGACCTCATTCTACCACTTTAAACATCCTATTTCCAAATAATTAAGATTTAACTATCTTAAATATATAAGATATGTAAAATTCCTAGCACAGTGCTTTTCTCTTAGACTTATCATTTTCCTGGCTTAATACATACTTATTGAGTGAGACAATCTTGGAAACTTTGATAATAGTTTCTGCAAATAGCACACATGTTGCACATCTTCTTTTTCTAAGCTTTCAATCAAATATCCTTAGCGATGTTATACAAATACCAGGGAGGCTTGTGGTGCAAGGGATTAAGTCTCAGCACTATAAAGCTCTCTGAAGCCACTGCAGCATGAGTTTGATCCCCACCTGTAGCAGATAGTTTTCATAGCCTCTACCGCCAATCCAGTTCCAGATACTGGAACTACAAATCCAATCAATACCTGTGAGAAGCACGCTGGGACGTGAGGGCGGAGCTGAGTAACCAGGTTAGGATAAAACTGGACATGTGGGCTCTTGGGGTCTTTTGGGATAGTGGTTCGTGGCTGGTCGTTTGGCTCTCGATCAGCTCTCAGCGAGCTATTGGAGTCCGAGTCAGCAGAACTGGTAGGATATTCTAGTGAAC